CGGCACCCGGGGTCAGCCCGACAGCACGCCAATCAACGCATGCTGTGTCCACCACCAGAATGCCGTCATTGCAGAGCTCAGCAGTGTGGAATTGTTTTTGTGTGTCTGCCTCTGACAACTGCGATGCCATTTGCAACCTGTGCCAAAAGAAACTGAGTCGTGGGAAGTCCAACACCCACCTAGGTACAACTGCTTTGCGTAGGCACATGATCTCACTGTCAGGGTACCTGTTGGTGCTGAATCCAGGGAAGACATCCTCTCTGTTTAGGGGCTCCCTGCCCCTAGCATTTCGGCATATTCCGGCCGTTTTCGCGCCGGCCGCGCTAGCTCCTCCCCCTTTTATGACGCGACGGCTAGCGTCGACGTCATGACGTCGGCATTTACATAAAGTGCCGGGAACCGCTATTCCGGACCTTTTGGGGGAGTGGTCTCTATTTAGGTAACAGGGTATTTAAAGGAAACCTTTACTACTGCTCATTGCCCTGTCGTGGTTCTAGCTTGCTAGTCACTCAGCGCGTTCTTTATCTTGTGTTTCCGGTTTTGACCCTTGCTTGTCTTTTGTCCTGTTGTCCTCTCCTCTCCTTTGACTTGGCTTGTATCTCGCTTACCTGTCCTCCGGCTCCCTCGACCTCGGCTTACCTTTTGACTATTCTTGCTTTGTCCCTACGTTAGTCCGGCCATTCTAAGGTCCGGTATACATACCTCCTTCTGTCCGCACTCTGCGTATTGGATCCCGGTCAGTATCCTGACACTCACATCACAAACGCCTATGGGATCAACACATGAGTACAAGCAGCACGCCTACTCTAAGCCGCCATCCTCCTCCTGGTCCAGCATCTTCAGCCACGTCGACCACTGCTGTCCTCCTTGTCCCCTCTCAACCATCCGCCACTCCGTCTCCCGCCTTGAGCAGTTCCCGCTCATCTGCCCACAGTCATGTGTCTGTCAAGGACATGTTTGAGCATAAGAAGACAATGTCAGAAAGTCACCCCCTTGCCCGGCGTCTGACACCTGGCTTGTCTGAACTATTAGCCCGCCAGCTTTTACCATACAATCTGGTGGAGTCTGAGGCGTTCAAAAAATTTGTAGCTATTGGGACACCGCAGTGGAAGGTAGCCGGCCAAAATTTCTTTGCGCAAAAGGCAATCCCTAACCTGTACTCGACTGTGCAAAAGGAAGTAATGGCATGTCTGGCACACAGTGTTGGGGCAAAGGTCCATCTGACCACTGATACCTGGTCTGCAAAGCAGTGTGTACTTTATAAATGGCTCCACCTGCCACCCGTACAGCAAAACAGTCTCCAGTTAGGAGGACCGACCAAGCATCTTCTTCCATCTCCCTGTTACAGAAATTACTGGCGTGTACACGTCCACTGATAGGAGACGCGGAAGGTATTAAACTGATAAAAAATAGTACTAAACACACCACTCCTATCTGGTGTCACATTAGCTTGTCCGCGCAGTGCCCCAAATTTGCAGTAAGAGGACCGACCAAGCATCTT